ATTCTCTTCTCTATTCTCTTCCCTATTCTCTTCTCTACTCTATTCTATTCCCTATTCTCTACTCTATTTTCTATTCCCTATTCTATTTTATTCCCTATTCTCTTCTCTATTCTATTCCCTATTCTATTTTCTATTCTCTATACTCTCAACTGCGGTACGGAGGGTCCACCTTTACCCACCCTCTTCTCAAGCTGCCACCCCCTAATTCCTCCTCGGCGGTCACCTTTGGGGCGCCCTCTCCCCTTTTGCATCCCAGCCTGAAAACAAGGACGCGCCCGCGGGCGCCCTCTTGACACAGCCATCCGCTTCCCTGGCTCAGCAGGAAAGAGCCCTCCACCCCCCCTCCGAATCTCAACAAGAAACCCGGACGGGGGGGGGAACCCGGAAGTGGCCGAGGGCCTCTCTAGGAGAGAGACCCTCTCGGTGCTTTCGCAACTCCCCCCCCCCCAAATCCCTCCACCCCGGCTGGCGGAAAAAGCCTTTGCCTGGGAGGAAGGCGCATGCGCGCGGCTGCAGCTACGCGCTGGGCTGGGCTGGGTGGGAAGGAGCTGCGCGGATCCTTCGCCCTGCGTGGCTCGCTTGAGGATCGGAGCTCGGGCGAAGGGCAGAGCCGCCTTTTCCCCTGCGGGTGCCTGTGCAAGCAAATTCCCTGCCTGCCTGGGAGTCTCCGCCTGCAGCTTCCTAGCTGGGCATCCCGGGCGGGGCAGCAAGGAAAAGCTGGGCTCCCGAGTCCCCGCTCCGGGGAGGCTCTTGACTGGAGCCCCGGACAGCTCCCTCCGGTCTTTAAGCTTTGCCTTGAGTGAGAAAACGCTTCCAAAGCGGCGGGGACATATTCTGAAGGAGCGTCTTTGGAAAGGGGTTGGAAAAACAAGGTGGGTTTGTGTGTGTGTGTTCTTAGTTTAGGAATGGAATATACAGATTAGGATGGGATGGAGTAGAATAGGAATTAGGATTAATGTTTGATTAGAATTAGGAGTTGGAATAGGTGACCAGTAAACTGCTTTTCTAAGGTTCCAAATTAGAGTTTATAATGATTAGGATTAGGATAAAATAGAATAGGAAAGGACTGGAATAGGGAATGGAATGGAATATAGAGATTAGGATGGAATGGATTGGTATGGAATGTGAATTAGGAATGGAATAGAGTTATGATTAATATTAGATTAGAATTAGGAATTGGAATCGAATGAAATGGAATGGAATATAGAGATTAGGATGGGATGGAACGGTATGGAATGTGAATTAGGAATGGAATAGAATTATGATTAATATTAGATTAGAATTAGGAATTGGAATGGAATGGAATATAGAGATTAGGATGGAATGAATATGAACTAGGAATAGAATAGAATTATGATTAATATTTAGATTAGAATTAGGAATTGGAATAGAATAGGAATTGACTGGAATAGGGAATGGAATGGAATATAGAGATTAGGGTGGAATGGAATATAATAGAATACGAATTAGAAATAGAATAGAATTATGATTAATATTAGATTAGATTAGAATAAGGAATTGCAATTGGAATAAAATAGAACAGAATAGGAATTGATTGGAATAGGGAATGGAATGGACTATACAGATTAGAATGGAATGGAGTGGAATAGGAATTAGGAATAGAATAGAAATAGGATTAATATTAGGTTAGAATTAGGAGTTGGAATAGAATAGGAATAGGTGACCAATAGCCTGCTTTTCTAAGTTTCCAAATTAGAATTTATAATGATTAGGATTAGGAATAGAATAGAATAGGAATGGACTAGAATAGGGAATGGAATGGAATTTAGAGATTAGGATGGAATAGAATAGAATACGAATTAGGAATAGAATAGAATTATGAGTGTAAACTAAAAAATACTTTGGTCTTTTTAGTTGTCAGCAAAAAGCGAGGGAGGAAAGCAGTGCATTCCTTAAATGCTTGAGATAATTGCTTTGGCAACCGAAGCCTCTGGCACTCAAAATTATTACTGGAGAGCATGATTGATGATTCTTGGCTATGGATGTGTCTTATTGGAGAATATACATCCAGGAGTGGGGGGAAGATCAGGGTCAAGGGTGAAATTAATGATTTGTCAAGAGTCAGCTGCAACCGGAAACGCCGACAGACCAGCTCCTAATAAATCAATCTTTTTTACTCTAAGAGATGTGGCTAGAGATTTATCATTTGAATGGGGGTGCCTGTCAGAGATCTGACAATTAGATTAGAATTAGGAATTGGAATTGAAATAGAATAGAATGGGAATTGACTGGAATTGGGAATGGAATGGAATATAGAGATTAGGATGGAATGGAATAGAATAGAATAGGAATTAGGAATAGAATAGAATTATGATTAACATTAGATTAGAATTAGGAATTGGAATAGAACAGAACAGAACAAAGAATGGACTGGAATAGGGAATGGAACGAATATATAAATTAGAATGGAATAGAATAAGAATAGAATAGAATAAGGATTAATATTATATTAGAATTAGGAATTAGAATAGAATAGGGAATGGAATAGAACATAATTCTTTATTGGCCAAGTATGATTGGACACACGAAGAATTTGTTTCGGGTGCATAAGCTTTCAGTGCACATACAAGCAACAAGTGAAAAATCATGATCGTAATCATAAAATTCAATCATAAATCATAAGATACAACATTCAGTGATAGTCATTGGATACTAAATAAAAGCAACCAACATAAATCATAATAGAATACTAAATAAAAGCAGTCAACATAAGTCATACAAACCACAAAATTATAGTCATAAGATGCTAAAGGAATAGGTAATAGGAAAGATGAGAAGGATGATAGTAATATAGCCCTACTATGTGGTTTGACAGCCTAGCCTTAGGGCATAGATGGTGTTGTGGGAATTAGTTGTTTATAGCAGAGGAAAAGTATGGGGGCGAAACTGTGTGTGTGGTTGTTTTGGTATGCAATGCCCTATAGTGTCCTCTTGAGGGAAGGAGTTGAAACAATTTATGTCCAGGGTTTGAGGGGGTCTGTAGATATTTTCACAACCCTCTTTCTGGCTCGTGCCATATACGCCTCAATGAAAGGCAGGCTGAAGTATGGAAACAGAAGCTTTAATGAAAATAAAGGTAAAGGTTCCCCTTGCACATAAGTGCTAGTCATTTCCGGTTCTAGGGGGCAGTGCTCATCTCTGTTACAAAGCCGAAGAGCCAGCGCTGTCCGAAGACATCTCCATGGTCATGTGGCCGGCATGACTAAATGCCGAAGGCACATGGAACACTGTTACCTTCCCACCAAAGTGGTCCCTATTTTTCTACTTGCATTTTTTACCTGTTTTCAAACTGCTAGGTTGGCAGAAGCTGGGACGAGTAATGGGAGCTCACTCCGTTACGCGGTGCTAGGGATTCGAACAGCCGAACTGCCAACCTTTCTGATCGACAAGCTCAGCGTCTTAGCCACTGAGCCACCGCCTCCCTGTATTAATGAGAATAATAATCATTTGTTTCATTTCTATACTGCAGAATTCGCAAGAACACTTGTGCTGTTCTCTCTGGTGCTGTTTTGAGTCTGGAAGCCTCTGAGTTAAATGGCTGCTGAACAGCTCTGAGGAAAAGGGGAAGTTCCCTTCTTAGAGGGGCAATCCCTCAGGAAGATTCATCTCCAAAGAGACCATCAGATAAAGGTTCCTTAGAAAAGCAATAGCACTTAGACTTATACACCACTTCACAGTGCTTTACAGCCCTCTCTAAATGGATAGGAACTGGACAATAATCACCTACTAAGTCCTGGGTGTTGTTGTGGCCCGCTGGTGGCTGACAGAGCTGGCAGCAGAGTCGGACAGTAACAAGGAGGTTGAGGAGGAACCTGGGCCAGTCTTGGAGGCTGAGCAAGGCTTGGATGAGGGCTCTGCATCAGAGGCAGAGATGGGGCCAGGGCAGGCTGGTAATCATCAGCTGCCTTTGGGCTTGGACATTAGTGAGGCAGGGGAGCTTCTGGAACCGGTTTTCAGCCTGGGTGCATTTGCAGAACTGCCAAAAGGAAGGAACGATTAAGAACGCAGGGTCGACGTGGGAGTAAGGCCACAGGTAGACGATGAATGGCCCCTCCCATCAAAGGAGCAAAAGGGCAGGGGGCTTTTGCAGGAAACAACTCATTCATTTGTTCCAGTTTCGTAAAGATTTGCATGTGTAATCCAGCCCTTCCCTGTCAGTACTTTGTGTGGAAATATTTACCGGGCAGCTTTCCAAGAATAGATAAGGTCTGAGCTAATTAGTATACCTTTGCAAGACTGTTCGCCAAGCCGTTGGCTGAACGTGAATGTACTAAATTCGCATTTAATAAAAGAGGTTTTGCCGGGACTCAGAGTTGGCTTAGTGCTTTTGGGGGAAGCCTAGGACAGAACAGGTGATTTTCTTTCTAGACAAAGTGCTTCTCCACCTGCTTCAAGATGGGTTCCTCCTTTCTCGCTTCTTACGCAGCCGGCTCCCTCATTCTTCCCTGGTCATCTCCAGCATGAGCAGAGCTTCTGTCATTTCAAGGACCTTACTGTTGTGGCCCGTCAGCTACTAGCAGAGCTAGCAGAGGAGTCAGCTGAGGTTGAGGGGGAGCCTGGGACAGTTTCAGAGCCTTTGGAAGGCTCTGATAAGGAAACAGAGGCAGAGACACCATGGCCTTCCATCCTCCCCCAAGTGGAGAGGCAGTTGTCTTTGGGGCCTGAGCTGAGTGAGGGAGAGGAACAGTTGGGGCCTATCCCAGATGCGCCTACGCTCAGAGAGGAAAGGAGAGGAGAACAAAGGAAAACAATTGCGCTCCGACAATTTTGGGCTACCAGGGTGATTATCTAGGCACTTAAGGAATGCACTGTTTTCCCCCATTCCCTTTTTCTGGCAGCTAAAAAGACCGAAGGAGTATATTTTTAGTTGATAGTAGGATTGCCAACATGATCGCCAATGTCTGAAGATGGATATGGCACAAGAAAAAGAATGTTTTTATAACAAGTAGTTCCTCTGATTTTTTTAAAATCACTCTCAGAGACCAGAGCAACATCGATGGCATCTCCTGGAACATCGGTTGTCCGTGGTGGAGCACTTGTTTTTCCAAGGAAGGTAGGAAGATCTTTCCCTCCTCAAATTGCTATCATCCAGCCCTGTCCAAAATGATCCAGCCCTATCCAAAATGGGGGGAGGTTTTTTTTTTTTTTCCATAAGCAGCTTCCAGATACTTCAATAGGAAGTCACAGTGTGTTAGGAATGTAAGTGTTAGGAATGTAACAGTTGGGTTGGAAAATATATAATCCAGGATAGACATTTTAATACTGTCTCTTTAAGGGAATGCTAAAATTGTAATTGGGTGTGGTTCCTCAAACGGCCATAAGATGGAGCCAGAAACCTGAGTTGTCCTATTCTGTCCTGTTGCTGAGAGAGTTGCCATTCCTGCATTTCCCTATTGATTGTTGCTGATTGTCGTTATTCTTGGATTTGATGTAAGTCTGTTACTAAGCTGTTTATGATACTGGACTTTGTTATTGGATTATCCCTGGACTGAAAACTGACTGCTTTAATCGTGAATGACTTGGACTGTGTTTGGACTTTGCTTAATCATTTACTGGAAGTAAAAACCTACATTTTACTAAACAGTGCATCTGTGTGCTGTTTGTGTGTTATTCTTCACCACTCTCACTACGTCTCCCTGTGTGCGCTCATTCTCCTAACGAGGAATTACCTCAACACAGTGCTACTGGTAATTCAAGAGGAATCATCTTAACAATACGAAACCATCCTCTTCTCCACCTTGGATGCTGAGAGGAATGTACTTGGTAATGTAATTATGGTTTGAACTCTGCAGCATATGACCATGCAATATTATTGATCAGCAATCCCACGTTATCTAAATAACGTTGCACACACATGTGGATATTAAAACTAGAAAGAAATTAGGATGAGAAGTTGAGTGAGGTGGCTTATTGTTGTCAGCATTCCAGGGAACCTCCATTCCAATCAGTAACTCCGATACAAGCATAATCTCAAAAGTAACTTTATTAGAATAGCACCTGGCACATCTGTGGAATTTCGAAACTAAAAGTTTCCCGGACTTCCCACAATGTCCCAACCTACAAACCATCCCCTTTTCTCTCATCATCACATCACATGAACCAATCCCAAAGTAAGTTCCTTTTTGTTTCTGTGCCACACTCCATGACCTTGAACTAACAAAAGAATTCTATTTTGTCTACTTAGAGCTACTCAATAAAAATCACCCCCCTCCCACTTCATCAAGCTATGTGGCAGCGATGAATACGGATTCCAAAGCTGAAAACTGTATTAAAATTCTTAATTGACTGTAATTTTAAGATGATCTGCTTAAGACAGGAGTGTCAAACTCAATTTCATTGAGGGCCACATCAGAGCTGTGTTTGAATTCAGGGGCGGAGGCGTGGCCAGAATGACATCACTTGTCGGGGGTGCCTGTGGTGGCCCAAGTGCTCTGCCATGAAAATGGGCTTCTGGGCCCTGTTATCTGCCATGAATGCCTCCTGCAGCTCTCTGCCAGGGAAAACAGAGCTTATGGGCCGTGGTTTGTGGCCCTCCTGAGCTCTGTTTTTGCTGGCAGAACTACCACGGAACAGTCCTTTGCTGTTAGGACAGCTCAGTGGACTAGATCTAACCACCCTGTGGGCCACATCCAGCCCACAGGGCTTCAGTTTGACACCCCTGGCTTAAGAGAAAGCACAAGGTTTCCCTTAAATTTATATTTATATTATGTAGCCAATGTCTACAATAGGTCTACTCTTGTTGTAGTCATCCTTCAAATCTATACAGTGGAGCCTCGAGTCGTGACTGTAAACCGTTCCCAGACTCCGGTCACGACCTGATTTGGTCGTGTCCGGAAGCACGACTGACTGTGCATGTGTGCAGTAAAAAAATGGTGCCAAAGGGGAAATCAGTGTGGAAAGGGAATCCTTCCACGCCGACTTTGTTCACCACCCGATTTTTGAATCGTGACCCAATTCAAAAATCGGGTGGATTTTTTGTTCGCCACCCGATTTGGTCGCGAACAGGAGCATTTGCGACCTGATGTTTCACTGTACTCCCTTCAGTTAGCCTTTGAATTTTAAAAATACAATAAGATCCATTTTTATTCTGAAGAAGGCCTGCAAAGTATATTGAATTTTATTCTTAGACTCCCTGGTAACAAGGTAATTTGTTCACATTTCACCTGTGTCCTTGGACATTAATAGAAGGGTATACAACAAGTTAAATTGCTACTGCACCTGACATAATTGAGAATTGGCCAAATTCACAAAAGATTATCTCCCAGGTTTATTTTTAATCAGAGATTCAGAACTCAGGGCAGTTGCTTATCTGTTCTAGTTGGGAATCAGGTTTGTTCTTTTAAGAAAAAAAAGTTCATGTATATATTATTCAACTGTTTTTTAAGAAGGATGTTTGTAGAATATGTGTGGTTTCTGTTTCAGAATTCCGTTTCCTTTGAGGATGTAGCTGTGTTTTTCTCTATAGAGGAGTGGACCCTGCTGGATTGTGAGCAAAAGACTCTGTACCAAGAGGTTATGCTGGAAAATGCAAAGAATGTCGCCTCCTTAAGTAAGGAACTGTTCTTTCTCTAGGCTGAAATTGTTGTAGAAAGTACCATACTTTTCACAGTATAAGACATATTTCTTCCCCCCAAAAAAATTGGGTGGAAATGTCTGTGTGTCTTAGAGAGCAAATATTGCAATGGAGGGAGAGGGAGGGAGATCACCACTGCCTGTCACTGCTGCCGCCATTTGCCACCACTGGGGAATACTGGAGCCTCCACTGCCAAGCAGTTGATTGGCGATTGGATCAGCCTCCTGGTATACCGCCAATCAGCTGTTCTAGGTGGCGAGGATTGTTGCCACTACCTATCGCCGCTGCTGCCTATTGTCACTGATCGTCACCATTTGCTACAGCCACCATTCAAGTGGGAAATGGTGGTGGCAAACGGTGGTGATTGGCAGTAAATGGCAGTGGTGATCGGTGGCGATATGTGGCGGCTGCAATCAGCGGCGGCAAATGACAGTGGCAATAGACGGGGGCGATAGGTGGTGGGGGCGATTCCTGCTGACTAGAACAGCTGATGTTCCAGGAGGCAGATCAAACTGCCAATCAGCTGCTTGGTAGTAAAGGCTCCAGTGTTACCTGGCAGCAGTAAACCTAGGTGCGCCTGGTGCGTCTTATAGTCTGAAAAATATGGTAATTGTTCTGTCAGGAGATTTCTCCTTAGTTTTAGGTTGCTTCTCTCTTTGATTAGTTTCCATCTATGGCTTCTTGTTGTGTCCTCAGGTGCTTTGGAGAATAACTTGACTCCCTCTTTGTGGAAGAAAGAAGAATAATTGAGAACTGTGAGAATTATTGGAACACTGCTATCATGTCACCCTTAGTCCTTCTTTTCATTAAATTAGACATACCCAATTCCAGCAACCGTTCTTTATATGTTTTAGCCTCCAGTCCCCTAATCATCCTTGTTGCTGTTCTCTGCACTCTTTCTAGAGTCTCAACATCTTTTTGACACGTGACGAACAAACTGGATGCAGTATTCCAAGTTTGGCCTTACCAAGGCATAACACTTTACATGATCTTGATTCTAACCCTCTCTGTTGGCTTTTTTGACAGCTGCAGCACATTGCTGGCTCATGTTTAAATGATTGTCCACTAGGATTCCATGATCCAGCTCACAGTTACTACTATTGGCCAAGGTACCGCCAGACTGTACCTGTGCATTTGATTTTTCTTGTCTAAATGTAGAACCTTTTTTCACCACTGAATTTCATTTTGTTAGATAGCGCCCAATGTTCAAGTCAGTCGAGATCCTTCTGCATCTTAAGCCTATCTTCTGGAGATCCTATCTTCTAATAGACCTGATGTTGCTTAGGGATAAGGTAGGCAGTTCTGCACCATGGAGGAGGGGAAAGAAGCCTGTGATAGATTTTTTTTTCAGTCCAATATCAAGCACAGCCCCATGTTATGAACGTACCCTGACAGAAGTAGATAGAGGAATCACAAAAAGAGCTAAAAGGAAAAAGAGCTGGAGGGAAGGTTTGGTAGTGTTCAAATAAGGGCTTGCAACAATGATGCTTGAGCCCATTTGTACCTCACTTTGTGTCCATTTTTCTTCTCTCTTTGAAGCAGGTGATGGATGGGAGATGGAGAGTTCCGGCCAGGAGGTGGTAACGCCTTTCCTAAAAGACAAAAAGGAAGTTGTGGAGAAGTTTTCTGGAAAGCCAAGTCCTGTGGAAAAACAGTTAAAGGGCGAGCCGGGGAAATGCTCTACTTTACCATGTGTGGAGATCAATGTCTTCTTAGCCAAAAATGTTCACCAAAAAAGAGAAGTGTGTCCAAGGTGTGGAAAAGTAGCCACAGATGTATCAGGATTATGCGATTGTTGCAGAAGCCACATCGTGGTGAAACAGAACGAAAGCGGGAAACGCTCCAGAAGGACCTTCCTCCTTACTTTATGTCAGAGAATACAAGGAGAAAAACCATACAAATGTCTGGTGTGTGGAAAGTGCTTCAAAGATTTAAGTCATTTTACTTCTCATTATAGGGTCCACACGGGAGAGAGACCGTACAAATGCACAGTGTGTGGAAAGTGTTTCAAAAATCCAAGTCATCTTATTTGCCATAACAGGATTCACACGGGAGAGAAACCGTATAAGTGCACCGAGTGTGGCAAATGCTTCACCGAGTCCCGTTCCCTCACTTGCCATAAAAGAATCCACACGGGGGAGAAACCGTATGAATGTAAAGAATGCGGAAAGAGTTTCAATCAAAAACATAGCTATACCGTACATCACCGAATCCACACGGGGGAAAAACCCTACGTGTGCTTGGAGTGTGGAAAATGCTTCACCGAATCAAGTTCCCTCACTTGCCATAAAAGAATCCACACCGGGGAAAAGCCATATAAATGCACAGAGTGTGGGAAATGCTTCAGTGAGTCGGGGTCCCTTGCATCTCATAAAACAATCCACACAGGGGTGAAACCATATGAATGCCAGGAGTGTGGGAAGGGCTTCAGAGCTTCAGTGTTACTTGCTTCCCATATAAGAATCCACACCGGGGAGAAACCCTATAAATGTACGGAATGTCCCAAGAGCTTCCGTTCTGCAAAACACCTTGTTTTCCATAAAAGAAAGCACACAGGGGAGAAACCGTATAAATGCCAGGAGTGTGGAAAATGCTTCACTGAATCAGGGTCCCTGACTTACCACAAACGCACCCACACCGGGGAAAAGCCCTATAAATGCCAGGAGTGTGGAAAGAGCTTCAGAGCATCAAGTTTTCTTACCTCCCATAGAAGGATCCACACTGGGGAGAAACCATATAAATGCAAGAACTGCGCGATGAGCTTCAGTCAAAATTACCAGTATGCTATACATAACAGAATCCACATGGAAGAGAAACCATATAAGTGCACAGATTGCGGAAAGGGCTTCCACAAGAACAGTCACCTTACGTACCACAAAAGGATCCACACCGGAGAGAAACCGTACAAATGCAAAGAATGTGGGAAGAGCTTCATCCAGAAATATCAATACACCGAACATAACAGAATCCATACTGGGGAGAAACCGTATAAATGCATGGAATGTGGAAAGAGTTTTAGAGCTTCCAGTTTTCTTACTTCCCATAAAAAGTTCCACGCTGAAGAAAAACCGTACAAATGCGTGGAGTGCGAAAAGCCCTTCACTAATTCAGGGTCCCTTGCTATCCACAGGAGGATTCACACTGGGGAGAAACCATATCAATGTAATGAATGTGGAAAGAGTTTTAGTCAAAAACATCATTATACTAGACATAGCAGAATCCACACTGGGGAGAAACCATATAAGTGTGTGCAGTGTGGGAAATGCTTCACTGAGTCCCGTTCCCTTACTTGCCATCAAAGGATTCACACTGGCGAGAAACCATATGAATGCACTGATTGTGGACGACGGTTTACTGAATCCCGTTCTCTCACTTCCCATAGAAGGATCCACACTGGGGAAAAACCATATAAATGCCCAGAGTGCGGAAAGAGCTTTAGAGCTTCAAGTTCTCTCACCTCCCATAAAAGGATCCACACTGGGGAAAAACCCTATAAATGTAAAAACTGTTCAAAGAGCTTCAGGCAAAAATACAATTATACTATACATAACAGAATCCACACTGGTGAGAAGCCTTATAAATGCCTGGAGTGTGGAAAGAGCTTCCATTCTCAAAAACTTCTCCCTTCCCATAAACGGATCCATGCGCGGGAGAAAACATATCAGGGCAAGAAATTTGACAAAAGCGTCAGTCAAAAACACCATTATACTGAACATAACACAAGCCAGCCTGGGGAGAAACCATAACAATGTATGGAGTGTGGGAAATGTTTCCCTGAGTTGGCGTCCCTCACTTCCCATCAAAAGATCCACATGCATTAAAAAATCATATGGGGAATGGTATTTACTCAACATCGGTGCCTGTATGAGCATAGAAAAAGTCATTCAAGGGAAAGCCATAAAAACAGACTAGAACTGTATACATGGATTGTGTGTCAAAAAATTTGCAGACTATAGCCTTATCTTCTTATGCCATCGGATGTTGGCTATCATGTTGCTGTTGTTTTTTATTTACGACAATGAAGTGTTAGAGAGTGGAATATAAGGAATGATGATTCTAAAGAATGGAGAATAACTGCAACTGATTACTTCAGTGATGTTAAGCATTTGTCCTCACAGAACCTTGAATCTAGTCTTTTTTGGACGATCTATTATGACGCCCTTCGCTGTTTGTATCTCTCAATCAATTGCCACTAGAAGCACCCAGCAGAGTGACAGTAGAGCAACTCTGGAGTTTCTTCTCTTGCATCTCTCGTTATTCCTCTGATTGATCAGACTGTTAATTGTGAGGGCTGTCAACACTTTTTATGTTCTATTAACTCGGCTGGTTTCCTCGCTGTGATGGGATTAAAAACATGATGGTTCTAAGGCACAGATGGGCAATCTTGGCTTTGTCGTGATAATATCTTGAATAAAAATGTACCTTTGGGTTTTCTCTCTTTCACAGATTAGTCTGAAGAATTGTTTTATAAAGTGCCAGTGTCCGAACTTCATTCTTGTCAAAGAGTTTGCAGCGTGACTACTATTGTGAGACAACTCAGGAGCAAAACACAGCACACAGAGGCTTTGTCTTTATAAACAAGACTGCTGTATGCATACATATACGTGGTAGGCAAATACCTGGCAAGCAATCAGTCTTCATTACTCTGCACAGAGAACTACAATGGAGATAGAACATGAGAAGAAGAGAAATATGCCCTCTCATGGCCTGCCTTATATAGACAGCTTCTTAAAGTGGCAATAACCCTGCTGGCTGACCCATCCTTGGTCTTAAAGCGGCAATAACTCTGCTGACTCGTACTCATTACATCAGCATTTACAGCAGCTGTCAGAATTCTAGCAGTTACCCCAATTAAATCATGACGGATGGTCAGCTCTTACTGTGTTTCTCCAACAATACAGCCTCCGCCAATAGGAAGGGCCAGCGTGATTTCTAGGCATGAGGAGAAATTAAGCCCCGCCCCCAAAATTTAGGCCTATTTAAACCATGCATTTCCCCGCCATTTCTCACATTGTTAGAACTACATGAGATGAAGAGAAATTGGGGGGAAGGGCAGGGGGATGGGGAGAAAACTTGCCTTTAGGAGTGCCCTGCAGGTAGCCTAGGCTAGAATACCCCGATAGCAGCTCCCCGAAGGCAGAGTCCCCAGCCACTTCAGGGCGTGGCGCGGCTACCCATGTCCCCTCACCTTTAGGCAGTCTCGGGTGATGGAAGCTCCCCAAATGCAGTCACCAGCCACTGATCGGCCAGTAGAAGCGGCCTTGGGGAGAGCGCACACACACACTTGCCTCGCTGCGAGGCTGCTACTATCGGCAGACGAAAGCTCCCTTGAAGGCAGAGTCCCCAGCCACTTCAGGGTGTGGCGTGGCTACCTGTGTCCCCTTGCCTCTAGGCAGTCTCTTTCGGGCGATGGAAGCTCCCCAAGTGCAGTCACCAGCCACTTCGATTGGCCGGTAGAAGCGGCCTCGGGGTTAGTGCACACACACACACACCCCTCGCCATGAGGCTGCTTCTATTGACCAATGAAAGCTCCCTTGAAGGCAGAGTCCCCAGCTGCTTTGGGGCGTGGCATAGCTGCCCGTGTCCCCTCACCTTTAGGCAGTCTAGGGTGATGGAAGCTCCCCAAATACAGTCAACAGCCACTTCGATCGGCCGGTAGAAGTGGCCTCGGGGCGAGGGGAGTGTGTGTGTGCGTGTGCTTGGCCTGAGGCCGCTTTGGGCCGATTGAAGTGGCCGGTGACTGCACTTGGGGAGCTTCCATTGCCCGAAAGAAACTGCCTAAAGGCGAGGGGACATGGGCAGCCACGCCTCACCCTGAAGCGGCTGGGGACTCTGCCTTCAAAGGAGCTTTCGTCTGCTGATAGAAGCGGCCTCGCGGCGAGGGGAGTGTGTGCGTGCGCTCGCCCCGAGGCCGCTTCTACCAGCCAATCTAAGTGGCTGGTGACTGCATTTGGGGAGCTTCCATCGCCCGAAAGAGACTGCCTAAAGGCAAGGGGACACGGGCAGCCACGCCACACCCTGAAGCAGCTGGTGACTCTGCCTTCGGGGAGTTTTTGTAGACCGATAGAAGCGGCTGTATGGGCTGCTCTAGGTGGGGGAGGAAATTAAGTCACCCCCCCCCCAAAAAAAGACGGCCTAGCTGGTTTTTCAGGGGTCAAAAAATAAAATAAAGCCCGGCCTTATTTTGTGAGAAACAGAAAATCATCAATACCTTAACACTCGTCCCATTTAAAGCTGAACAGCTGATAATCCAAATGCTTTAGCATATTCCTTTGCCAATATATCAGCTATATTATGGTCAGTAGAACACTGCTGTAATCTTATCAGTTTCTCCTTTACAGCCTCCCTAACATTACAGTGTTTGATATCTATATGTTTACTCCTGCTTACAATGCAACTTCTTGCTGCCAATTTTATACAAGCCTTACAACAGTGGCCAGCTATTAAATCGTCAATACCTTAACAATGATTTCTCTCTTTAAGTGCACTTTTAATCAGTGGTTGGCTGCTGCCGGTTCACACCGGTTCTAGTGAACTGGTATAAACAACAATCAGTAGGCCCCGTTTACCCACCCCTGTCTTATCCTGTCTTACATATTCTTTTGCAGCTCAGCTGATTCGCACGGCAAAGTAGATTACCATGCCTCAGCTGTTCTACTCACCGGGGAAGACTAGAAGGTGAGCTGGAGAGGTTCAAATTGCTGTTTATTGAATGCTCTTTGCACACGCAAAGCGTACACTCACAGAACTGGTTGTTAAACCGCTTGCAGCCCACCATTGTTTTTAACATGCAATGGGGTAGGACAGGAATCCTGGCAGTGTTCTAGAATTACCAAGTGGAAGATAAAAGGTTTTCTTCCCTAGTTCTCAAATAACGTTCTCCACCTAATTATAGAGCTGTGATTGCATGTTGAATTTGTGTTGAATTCCAGTCCTATAACTTCTTAGGAAACCTGTGCAGTGCAGAAATTCTGTTGATTTAGAGGGAAGTTTGAATCATTGATTGATCCAATGAATTAGAAGAGAAAGCATCTCAGTCATGAAAGATGGATGATTATATGTGTCACCCACTGGCCATGGGTGCCAAGACAAACCCTTTCTTTAAAAAGGACATTAGAACTCAAAATTGAATATCCCCTTCTATTTTTCCCCAGAATCACCACTCTGTGAGATCAGTGGTGGTATTCTACTGGTTCGGCCCGGTTCTGCCAAGCCTGTAGTGCCAATGAGCAGCAGAAACCAAACCGGTTCTCTCCGTTGCTCCGCTGTTGGGCCCACCTGCTTGCCTGGGCTCCCATACTCACCTTTACCCTGTGCTTTTGAAGTGCAGCTGCTTTCTATGCATTGGGCATTCTTTTGTAATTCAACCAATAGTGCAAGAGAAGAACACTTACCTTGAGGAGGTGATTCACCAGGAAGTTGAAGAGAAGGCTAGGAAGTTACAAACTCACCCTGAGTCGTCTTTCTAGGAAGAAGCAAGCAGAAACTTGAATCCTCTGCAGAGATGGCATTTAGCAGGTTCTGACCAGTCCTGGAGAACTGGCAGTGGAAATTTTATGTAGTTCGGAGAACCATCAAATACCACCTCTGACAGCCCCCACATCTATTCTCTGCCTCCCGAGTCCCAGCTGATTGGCTGGGTCTTCTTTTGTTGCCCTGCACAGGAGAATGGAGCTGGAAAGCAGGTTATTGGAGGGGGGAGGGAATGGGGATTTTACAGTATCCCTCCCCTGCCACAGCCACCAAGCCATACCCACCAAGCCACGCCCACCAAGCCACGCCCACAGAACCAGTAATATTTTTTTTTAATCCCACCACTGTTCCAGTTCTGTGCACCTTTTTCAAAA